TATTTTGTCAGTATTTTTTTCTCAAATGTGAATGGAAAGAATTGTATTTAATTCCCGTGTGAGAGATTTTGATTGTGTCTGTCTTGCCCTTTTGTAATCTTTAGATGTTACCATTCCAAATAAATGGTATAGGTATTTCATATACATAAGTTTTATAAATGGCTTACTTTGCACAGTAAAATAAAGTCCCACATTTCAGTGCACTTTACATTTCCACTCTTTTGGCCCTCAATATTCCTAGATATTGAGCATAGTTCTAAAACACTTCCGTAATATGTCTTGGGGGATTCTTCTGAAAAGAAGTTGCAGAATATGTCTGATTATTGTCATTGCTTCCAAGAAAAATGGTTGTACTTCACTGAAGAATCTGTCAAATCAAAGCTAGAAAGGATGCTATCGTGGTGTATGTTAACTTGTATGACTAATGTTGCAAGTGTAATTTAGATGACATTTCACCAACAACAAAACATTCACTATTTGCTAATTACAACTAGCAGGTTCTTAGCAGGCTGATATTTTTAATTAGAACTTATACACTAGGATTTGACTTAGTTTGGGGGTTTTTTAAAATAATGTTTGGAAGTTGGATAGTGCCCTCTGCTGGACTTAGGCTCCCATAGCAGTAGTTTGCAAAGTGCCCCAAATGTTGTCAATTAGTGAAAATGAACACAAAGTCAGTGTTGCTCTGCAGAAGGGATTTGCTGGTTTCGAGGAAGTATGCTTTGTTTTAGTCCCTTCCTGCATTCTGCTCTACGTGGAAGCATACTGTGCAACAAAAATTGGTCTCATTTTAGATGGCAAAGAGCTTTTGTCTAATTTAGTTTGAACCCTGTTGGCTAGGACTGACAGTGAGACTTTATCACAGCGAGCAGCAGGAACATGTAGTGCTATGTATTCCAATTTTTGCAAAAATAAACTCAATACAGTAAGAGCATATTCATCTTCAGAAATGAGGGTGATGAAGAAATATGCAGTTGAACTTACTTTTTGCGTCTTTAAGACTTACATGTCTTTATTGCATTATTTCGCAGTTTAGGAAGTTATACGGAGAAGTCAAAAGTGTAATTTTTCTTTTTAGCCCTTCTTTAAGGCATTTGGATTTTTTTTTTTTTGAGGGGGGTGGTTATAAAAATAGCAACACTACCAGTTTCACTTAATAATTCTAATCTCATGCCTTTGGACTTTCCCAGGGTCCATTAAACAACAAACAAACAAACAAACCCCAAAAACAAAAGTAAAAACAAACAAAACCACAAAAAAAAAAAAAAAACAGACAAAACAAAACCAAAATCAAACCCAAAAACCAAACAAAAAACCCCATGACAAACAAACAAAAAACCCACAAACAAACAAAACCAAAACAAAGCCATTTACCCAGGATGTAACTTTAATTTACAATATCTCATAGCAAAAGAGACAGAGAGAGATGAATTTCCCTAGTATTTTAATTGAAAATGTTTAGTGAATTTACAATATGAATTTAAAATCCTTCAAAGATAGACTATAAAACTGTAATAATTCAGCATTTACAGGAAAATAGAAATTAGTAGCATAGAAAGCATTACATATCCATTCATGAAACTTTTATGGATTTTAAATCGCTTCTCTAGTTTTTCTCAGCACAGAAAACACATGGAGGGAAATAGCTGAATAGTGTTAGCTGCGAGTGATTTCTATTAATTGACCAGCAAGTTCTTTTATACATTAGCTTAAAGACGATACAAAGCAGCTCTTGTGTTTATGTGTTGCATGCTTTCTAAAAATCTGCAGACTTCTTAAAAAGCAGATTGCCCGTGCAGAGCAGCTGTTCTGTGTCAAATTACGCATCGTCTCTCTGCTCACTTCAGAGGTGCACTTCTAGGGAAAAATGCAGCCCATCCTCCAGCACACACTCACTCACTCACTCTCATGGCAGCAGCTCTGGAGTAGAGATGAGGATGTGCTCCCAGAATACTCTGTCCACTCATAATATTGCCCTTCAGTCAGCCTTTATTTACATATGCCTGCAGCTGTGAACCTCTTTGCTTCACCAAGTGAGCTCCATGCCCTCTGCAAGGAGCTGTGAGCTCTGAAGTGACAGACCTCCACATTAATGGTCACAGCTGGTCATTAGCTTTTCACTGAATCTTTCTTGGTGTCCTGTTAATGAACTCCCCACTGGCTTGTTGTGAAGATTGTTCAAGGTAAACAGTACTGGTAATTTATAGCTGAACCCCCGGCAGGCAAACGGCCTCCACTGAGTAACTGCAATCAACACAGTACTACTAAGTGGCAACACGTTCTTTCTAATTTATTTCTCAGTTGTAACTATTTCATGTTGAAAGGAAGCTTTGGATTCTATGTTGAAAAATATGTTTACATATTTTATTTGGGGGCGAGAGGAATTTCTTTAAGAATTTAATAAGGAAAACAGCCTTAATCTTACAAACTCTTTTTATTTTTGGCATATTTTTACCCTTCACAGAGCATGTTTTCTTAAAAAAAACATTTCTATGCACATGAAATTCACCTCTAAAAGGCTCAGAAGCCCTCTCAGTTACAAAAATTAGCTCTCAGGTGGTCCCTGTTAGATGCAGGAGCCTGGAGACCTTTGATGGTTCAGCACATATGGTGTCTAATCTCTGTGAATCATGGATAAATTGGCCAGAAGTTACAGTCCCTCTAGCTGTGATCTTGCTAGCTCTTAAAAGCTATAAAGTTTCAGCCAGGTCCTGGCTTGGTAGGAAAGCTCTGGAAAAAGCCCAAGAAGTGGCAGTGATGCATTAGGTAGCACTCTTCCCTTTAAGACTGGTAGATAGTGTCATAGGGGTTATCCAGTTATCACAGGATCCTGCCTTGGCTTTAGATGGGCAGGTACCTTTCCCCACTTCAAGAGTGAACAGATTCCACAGTGGCCAAGACATTCATAATCCTTTAAGGTTTTATATTTTCATTTTCACTAGTTCAAGTGTCATAATTTTGATGCAAAACAAACAAAAAAGGTGGTATATATCTGCAATGAAACTGCCATAAGAAACTGGGTTTGCATGTCCTGGGCAAGAAAATTTATTATGTTCTATTACAGGTTTTCATGCACTTGACGCAGATTAAGCGGTGTCCCGATGATCATCTCATTTCCTGCAAATGGCTTCAAGATTGTAAAAATCTTTCCCCCCAGTGCTTCCAAATGGCACTTCTTGAGCTGTGTAGAGATTAAGTAGTTGAGTTTCCAGGAAGGTGTCCTGATCATTGCTCCCTGAGGTGTGGAAATAGGAGCTATGGTTCTCTTTAGAAAGACAGTTTTTGCCCTCTCATTGAAGTTACTCACCTTACATTTGGTAACTTTGCTCTAAATTATATGAGATTATAAAAATTTCTCATTACTCAGAGATTCTATTTCATACTCTGATTACAAAAGAGATCCTTCTCTCCATCCTGGTTTCAAGTACTGGGATACTCCTGTTTCCTTAGCAGGCACTGCTGACAAAGCATGTGGCTCAACCAAAACTTTGTGAAATGACTAAAAGCAACCAAGTTCTTAAACAGCTTGTGAAAGCAGCACAGATGGTACTTGCTTGATGTTGCCCATCTTGAACACAAACATTTAATTCTGCACCTTTTATGGTGTGGATGTGAGAGTTCGAGACAGAGGAGTCATATGCTTTTACAGAAAACCATAAATCATTTCATATAAATAAGACATATATTTAATCATTGCTCATCTTGTTATGTACATCCTGCATTTGTTTCCGTGCTAAAAAGTAAATAAGATGTTCAAATATTAATGTCATATGTTTGAGAAGGGCCAGGTCCTGACCCAAAAGAGTGTATTTTTAAGGAAATTCATTGAACCCAGATGGACTTATGGCATCTTGATGCAGAATGTAGTGCTAACAATGTTTTATTCTTATTTTTTGTCCAGGAGCTATGGACAGTGAGCTTTAAAATCCTAAAATCAAAAACTGAAAGTGTAAATAAAATATGAATTTGGTCTCAGCAGTAATACAAACTCCATGAAAATACTCTTCGTGGGGGGTGGGTGGGGTGGAAAACACTCCTTAAATCACAACACTTCCTTGAATGGCTGTGTATTATCCACTAAAGAAATGCATATAGCAGTTTAGAAGAGATGATGCATGTTGAGACAAACATCTTTACAGCACTGAATGGGAAATCTTTAACTATGTGTCTGTCCTCTCGTTTTATCCAATCTTAATGACACACAAAATGTATACTAAGTACTGTTTCGATCCCTGTATGTGCTCTGGATGAACCCCGAAGCCAAGTGATGTAAACATAATGTAAAGCACAATGAAAATAAACCAAAGTGAAGGCATATTACATTTTTAAATTTTCACTATAATGATTAAATCAGTAACGCTGTACATATATAGAATTTCTGCTCCTTGCTGCATGTACCTAATGGTTATCCCCATTTTTAATGTGAGACACGTCCCACGATGTACAGAATGAGTTTGCGTGTGCATTTTTTCAAGTGTCAGTGTTTAATACCTTCCTGCTAAGATAGCTTAGCAGTGAGCACACATCTTTCTACTGGATGTCCCTTGGGAATGGTACTCTACAGGAATATACCAGCCTTTCTGCAGAAACCATTGCAAAGCTGAACTAACACAATATGATTGCAGGTCTATTTTACCTAACCTTTATCTTTTTCAGAGGAAACATGGAAATGTTTTGTTAAGACTTAACAAACATAACTTTTGTTAAGCTAAATCATGGTTAAGCTAGGTCTTTTTGGAAAAACATAATCTTTGATTTCCTTACCAAAAAAGAAAACTTAGTGAAAGAATAATAAAAAACATCCTGTTCTTATGTATAATTTCCTTTTTATTGTATTTATTTTCAGAAAATGTATTGAACCTAGTGTCAAGACAAGTAGATACTTTTGAAAATTTTCTACTAATATAGTTTTTTAATCAATTAAAGCAACTGACTCAAAAATGAAACTTATTTTTTTACAGATTTTGAAATAACATATTTTCTTACATTCTTTGTAACAGGTGGTTCTGCTAATCTAACCTGCCGAGCTTTCTTTGGATACAGTGGAGATGTCAGTCCTTTGATCTACTGGATGAAAGGGGAGAAGTTCATTGAAGATTTAGATGATAGTCGAGTCTGGGAAAGTGACATTAGGTAAAAGAAAAAGCTTTTTTTTTTTTCTTTTTTACTCTATATTTTTGTGATACTTAATGTAATACTTTTTATCACAGACTAACTCAGGAGCACTTTGGGTCTGATCCATTTTTGCAACATCCATATTTTATCTTTTCGTCTCCACAAGTAGAGAATAGAAAAATGCACTACTCAGCCAGATCTGATATTAGAGAGCTTCAAAAGCAGAATAGCTGCCCAAAAAGTGTTGTAGTGTTGACCAACTGGAATTTACAGTGGCTTTTTCAAACTGTGACAGTCCACAATAAAAACCGTTAAGACACTTAGTGAGATGAAATAAAGAAAAATAAATACATCAAGAAAAACATCTCAAAAAGGCATTTTCAAACCTAGAACCTTAAAGAAATGCCAAAGTCTGACTTCCCTTTTGGAATATTTTGATTTATTTTCTGCGTGAAAAAAAACTTGATTTTTCAGGGATGTTATCTGGCCCGTGAGAGCCAAGCATCCTGTTATGTGGGCTGCTTATATCTGCTGAAATACTGGCATTTGTGTCTTGTACTTCTACTGCTCCTGGAAGTGCTACCTCATTTGGAAATTAAGGAAAAAAGTGGGTTTGTGTTGAGAATTGCATGCTTGACATGACATACCAACTCCTATCCAATATGAAGCATCTGCTCCGACCTGAAGGGATTCCTTTTTCATTTATAATTCTGTATGTGTGTTTATCACTGAGTTTATCATGGATAGACCCAGAAATAAAGGCACATCTAAATATGCATGTCATGGTTTAACCTTAGACAGCAACTAAGCACCACACAGCGGCTCACTCACTCCCCTCTTATCCCCCTCGGGTGGGGAGAAGAATCAGAATAAAAGTAAAGCTTGTGGGTTGAGATAAGAACAGTTTAAAAATTGAGACAAAATAACGAATTATAATAATATCAATAATATTAATTGTAATAATAAACATATATTACTAATAATAGTTGTAATGAAAATGAGAGATAGAGGAATAAAACCCAAGAAAGACAATATAATTGCTTACCACCCACTGATCAATGCCCAACCTGTCCCCAGGCAGTGATCCACGGCTCCTGGTCAACTACTTCCAGTTCATATACTGGCCATGGCATCTTATTGTATGGAATAACCCTTTTCCCAGTTCTGGTCACTTGTCCTGGTTATGTTCCCTCAAAACTTTTTGTGCATCTGCTCACTGGCAGAGCATGATACACTGAAAAGTCCTTGACTTAGGGTAAGCACTGCTCAGCAAGAACTAAAACATTGGTGTGTAATCAACATTATTCTCATACTGAATTCAAAACAATACGCTGTACCAGCTACTGAGAAAAAAAGCTAACTCTATCCCAGAAAACTGAGACAGTGCATTACAAAGGAAACTAAGAAATCATGGATGTGTTATCTATAGTGATTGTCTATAAGAGAACAAAATTAGCCTATTTTACTTCACTTCTTACATGGATATTTACAGCGTCAACAAAAGACATGAAGTCAGGCTCAGTGTCAGCTTAACATTGGACTTCTTCAGCATAACCAAAGTGACAGAAACATTCCCTTTAACAAAATCAAGAAGACCACCTTGATACTCAAGGTCATCATTGCCAGATATAGGCAAAATGGAAACACATTTCACCCTGTGCATTTCGAGGTCAAGACCAATACACTAAATGGCATGTGACACTCAGATATTTTGCATCTAAAGATTTTCCCAAGCCCTTCTACCAGTGACTTGGCTCTCTGATGTCTAACAAAAAGGTGAAAAGAACTCTGTTACAACTTTCTTTTTTTGTGAAGGGAGGAGCAGAAAGGCTGGTTTTCACTTCTTACGTCAGGCCTGACATGAGGGAGCAGCCTGGAATAATTTGTCATTTGCTTTCCTGGATTCCTAAAACCACTGACGGTCTTGCTAAGAAGGAAAGAAAGTAATGTGAAGACAGGTGGAGTCTTACACAGGAAGTCTTTTATTTACCATCTGTATGAACTAGAGGCATCTGGCATACCAGCTCTTTCTACTGTTTTATAATATATAATCAAATCTTATACTGCATTCTAGAAATAATCTCTCAGACCATGGCATGAACATATTGTTTCTGAGTGGCACATTGAAAAGCCTCAGAAAAAGCACAAATACTGTGTTTGGCCCAGACTCCTAGTGTGACTCTAAACCCCAAAACAACAGTTTTCCCTTTTTTCTCTTCTCACGTTCCAAGACTTCATGGATCAGGGTCTCCATCAGAGTGTGCAATGATATATTATCAGTGTGCATATCATTCTGCTTAAAGAAGACAATGAACTGAAGCTCTCATTAACATTTACGGAACCAATCCTCCTCATTAGAAGTGAGGAAGAAAAGGGCATGACAAAATTTGATTAAGATTGCATCAAACCATAGCCAAGTTTGAAGCCAGAGAGCTGTAGGTTGTGAGCAGCATTATTATGTCATGGTTATCCAGTGCTCCACTATGACACAAGTGGAATAGCAATGATGGTTGGTTTTTTTTCTCAGGGTTCTCAAGGAACATCTCGGGGAGCAGGAGGTTTCCATCTCATTGATTCTTGACTCTGTCGAGGAGGCAGACCTGGGCAATTATTCATGCTACGTTGAGAATGGAAATGGGCGCCGACATGCCAGCATTCTTCTACACAAAAGGGGTAAATATGCAGCTTTTCTCCATGAAATGGTAAAATGTAGGGGAGATCCATTTTTTACAGAGCTTCTTTCTGATGCAAGCATGAATTTTGGCTTCCTAAGAACCAATAGTCAATTATTATTTTCCCCTAGGAATTTGTACAGCTTGAAAAACAAAATAGAAAGGATGTTGTTAATTATGGATGCCACTGGAAAAAAATACAGTAACACCTTTTAATTATGTCTCTATAAAAGATGCATTTAATAATTCCTTAGTTTTGAACTTAATAAAGGTTCAATAGAGAAAAATAGTAGGAAACAACAGCTAATACAACTGCTATAATTTTCTGTAAGAAATAAAATCAATTATTTGAAAAACCAACAAAAATACATTCCACTTCTATCAGAAATGCCACCTAAACCCCATGCCAGGAGAGTTCCTTCATTGCCTAACTGTGGACATTTTCCTTCTAACTCTTTTGTTTAACATCAACATTTCTGAAGTGAAACATCATGACAGAAACTTCTGAGGACCTTCCTGTTTCTTCTCACCACTCACATCCCATGATTCCACCCTGTTTAATAGCCACAGCCATCTCCCACAGAGATGATTACAGAGAGATGGAGAATCTCTTGCAAATCAAGGCTCCCAGACCCATTTTGTCCACTTTACCTCTCAGAGGGTGCTCCACATGCCTGGGATTGACACTCCCCACCCTCAAGCAGCATCCTGCTGGCCTAAGAGAGCAAAGAATGAGCAGGAGCAGTGTGTGCACTTTGGTGTCATTACTGTGCTTTTTTTAGATTGCTTGTAAAGGTGAGCAAACCAGGTTCTTATTGTGGTGCTGAAGTACTTTTGGCATCTCAGTTTATATCAGAGCAGTGATGTCTTCCCTAAATTTACTTTTGTAGCATGCAAAGTCTGTCTAAGTTTAGAAGGAAACCATAAATCAAGATAGTGTGACCAAATTATTTAAACATATTATGTACCTCCAATTAATTGAATAGAACTAATTTGTAGCCATTTTTCTGAACTCATCATTGCTTCTTAAAAGATGCAGATGTAAATAACCAGATGTTCTGCTTAGCCTGGCATTTGCCACATTTTCTTGAATTCACTGAGGTAAGAAACTAAGGTATTAAGTAATTGAACCTCAACAATATACCAGTTAGTAGTCATATATTCCTCGTTCAGAGACATTTGAACCTGGAGCAAGATCTTAACCCAAAACACCACTGACATCCAATGGCTTGTCCTTAATAATTAAATTAGTTGATGAGACACCAAAAATAAAGAATTTTTAAGGCTTAATTACTTGAAAGGCTTTTTAAGGCTTTAAATTACTTTAAAACCAATACTTAATTGACATGATGAATCCTTATTTTCTCTTCCATACAAGCAGTATCTGCAACACTGACAACACATACTTCTTTTCTGTTCTATGACCACCAGATTTTTAATCTAACAGTGTAGGCATGAATTTTGAAAGAGTCTGCTTTCCTTGTTTCCTTTTTTGTAGAACTCAGTAAGTCAAACACACCACAGTATGTGCCCTCATGATGACATACTTCAGAGGAAATAATCTCAATATTTAATTGCCCTTATGAATAGTAAAATGATAAAAAAGCAAAGAAAACTCCCCAAAATATTTTTTTCCTCTTTAAGTAAAGCTGAATCTGAAATTGATTTGGAAGCACAGTCTGTTGTGCCCTCAAAAAACAAAATGTACCTGATACAAGCCTTCTACACACTTTGCATGTTGACAACTGTTTCAGTGAAATGATAAATTAAGCATGACAGATAAAAATTTGAGCTAGTCTCTGAGGTCTCCTAGGAAGAGAAGCTTTACACTTCTTGCTTAGTCTTCTGTATATCACCATGACAACCTTTCGGTTTAGGTTTCCTTGTTTAGATCCACATTTAGTCTCTGCTAGGAATGAGTTAGCTGTTTATTAATTTCTGATTATTTGGCTGACTTAGAACAATTGGGACCTAACAATTAGGAAAATTTGCTTCCTGAACATTAAGATATTTGCAGAGTATTAGTTTTGGCTGGTTTTCTAGTTAGTGATCTTTTTTTTCCAGCAGTATAAGTCAACAAAGGTGCTGAATCTGGAATGTTCACTGCATACCTGAAAAAGAAATTATAATCCTTCTTAAACTTCCTCTATGGAACATTATCACCAGGATCAGAAGGGACAGCAAAGCAGAAAGCTCTGCTACTGAACAAAAAGCGTTCCTGGGAAAAGAGGTATTTAGGGCTAAACGCTGCAGTGGCGATTCAGGTACAAAGTTTAAGCCTTTCAAACACCCTTGCAACTGCTGCTTCAACCTGGTCAGTATAGTCTCTGTAAACTTAAAAGTCCAGGGGGAGATTTTAGAAATACCTACAATTAACAGGCCCTGAAAGGGCAAGAAGTCCAGAGTCTAACTCACTAGCAAAACCCTGGATGCATCTTCCTTAATCTTCCCACTCGTCAGCCCAGCAGGAACACACACTCTCCTCACAGAAACGGCAAGCAGGACCCATCAAATGGTGGTCCCTGTCACAAACCAGTGCCTGGCACATTCAGACGGAGAGAGGGGATTTCTGCTCTTTCCCTGACATGGTACTGGAATGGATAACCAGAGCCTCTCCTTTCCCGAAATCAATTAATTTCAGGAAGGGAGCAGAACATAATGCCCCCAACTCCAACACCGCTTGTGCAGGAAAAGTGAACCTCGTTTCAGCATCCGGCACCGGGAGAAGGCTGGGACGCTTCTACCTCCCTCTAGTGTGGACACCGGTGCTCTGCATCTCGGGGAGCTGAGCCCTTATTTTCTCCTGAGCTTCTTTTGCTTTCTGATGCAAGTAGAGAAAACCTATGATCTATGTTTTTCTGCTGCCAGCTAACCATTTTTAGACTCCTAAATTTCCTCAGATGCTGTGCATAGGGAGCATTTAACTCGAAGCTAAAGGCAGTAGAGCATTTTAAGCATGACAATGACAATGCTGTTTCCTTTTCTTGTTCATTCCTACAAAATTTGTCCAATAGATAATCAGAAAAAGAGAGGGATCAGAACTCAGGAGATTTAACTCTCATTCCTTTCCTCCAGCTTTTGACCAAATCTGTTTCACCTTTACAATAATCAAGTTTTTTTCTCTTTTGTCTAAGAAAAAAAAAATCTACTTGTTATAATCCAAGGCTGATTTTGTTACTTACTGGTGATAGCTACCATCGATCATCTGTAGCAGTTCAGGCTAATCTTCATCCAGGTAGGGGAACCTTCTAGAAATTAATTTTTAGAGTGATACTGACAGCAGCTAAGCACAAATTTATTAATAACAGACCACATATTGAAAATGAGATGAGGTGGATCACACACTCTAATTCTATTTTTGTCCATTTTTTTTCAATTAAAGAAGAAAAGCCCATAGTCTATCAATGTAGTAGATAAAAATGTATGCATAAGGGAAAAGAATGCTCTTCTGCATTTTTATGTATTGACAAGTATGTCTTTCATGCTGGATCACCATCCTCGTAGTCTCATTTAATCATAGAGTGTGTTGTAAATACAGAATATTATCTAATTATGTGATTATTTTCTGGAAATTCTTCTCTGCATGTCTCCAAGCAGAACTCTAAAGCAAAATAATGTCAAATATTATTTGTCATTATTCTTGAAATGGTATTGATATTATTTTATAGAAGCTTAGTAATATACCTGTATTTTTCCTGGGACAAACACCAGAACTAAGAGCAGGTAACATACTTTTATACATTTTCTCAAAGAATCTACTACTACTTCTTCCCATTTTCACAGTATTATCTGATTTCCTATCCTGGGCTTCTTTTATATTTTTGATTTGTTTTCCTCTCTCATAGGTGTTCTCAATGGACATATGTGGATTTTGTTGACTATGAGTTAATGAAGAATAGTTAAAATCAGGGTTTTTTTCCTATCAGGACAAAACCCCCCATATTTTCACTGATATATATTGTTTAGATAAAGAGATTTAATCTGTTTGAAATTGCCCATGAGAATATATGTTTGAAAAATATAGAAGTTAATATTTCCTAGATGGAATGCGTATTGAGGAAACAAGTAGGTAGGCATACTTTAAACTCACCACTTATTAGTGCATAAACATCATATTAATATTTCCTGTACAATATAATGGCAAATTCAGAATAGAAAGTAATTCTGAGTTCTCTGGTTATTAATGATACTGAATTACTGACAAGCACCTTAAATTACGGTGTCATTCACGTAATAGTGTAAATCTGGTTTATTACTTAAAGACTTGAATGTGCTAAGTTTTTGATCTCATGAGCATTTTCAATCACTAGGACATGATTTCACACAGTGACAAGACTTAAAAGAAGAAAGAAACTGGTTCTTTTCTAACCTCTACAAAGAAACTGCAGGTGTTATTTCTCTATTTCCACAAGGCTTTACAATGCTTCTGAAATTTCTGCATAGAAACTCAACACGTGAAATATGAGAGCAATGAGTCTTATATTTCAGCTTCTGTTACTTGGTCCTAATTACTTGACCATTGCAGCAAATCTCAATGGAAGCAAAACTGTTGTAGAGCTCTGATCCACTTGGTCAGTTAAACCTTACACATGTATATCTTCCAGTGTATAAAGCCTTCAGTTTTCATTCTACACTGCAGGAAAAGCTTTTCTGAGATCCTCAACGGCTTTTAGAATTGGAATTGAAATTGGGTTGGACTTGATGGAAATTGATTTTTCATCCACCTATGTCCACTGAAAAAGTCTTTGGCTTGTCACTGTGCTCAGCAGTGCAAAGGTTTGTTCACTCAAGAGGTTCATGACATAGGACCAAAAGCCAAATATCAGCTCCCTTCTGTCCCAAATCTAACCAAATGTGACTGCTCTTTCTACACTCAGTCTCATCTAAAATCAGTCAAGGAAGTAGAATACTAGAGACCTCTGCCTGACAGAAACTCTTCATAAGACCATTGTCTTAATCAGTAAGGTTTTCCTCATCTCATAGAAAATTGTACTAAGACAA